AACTATGTAAGGATGTTTAGAATTCTCAGGCTGGCTGTTTTTCCTGCCCGCCACTCTGTGTACAATCCCGGTAGGGAGAGTTTTTTTGCTTTGCTGGCCCGGACTTTAGTAAAGTCGCCTAGGAGGAGGGGGGGGGAGAACACCGTACTAGATAACAGCCCTTCAGTCCTCAGGAGAATTAAGCAGCTTTACGTTTTGACTTGTTTGCCACAGGCAGTATAAGGTCTCAAATACCTCGTAGGATTCTCCATCAACATTTGACATTCAGGGTCCTTTTGGTTGCACTTTTTTCTCGCGATCGCAAATGACTGACGTAAGTCATAGTGGTCTTCTTGACTCGTGTTCTTTAAGCTTACAATGTTACCTCCAAGGATACAATGACGTGAATGTCGCTTTTTCCCTTTTAACCACTGTACCATTTCCCCGCCGCTTGCGATAAATTAAAAAGACTGTATTGTCCCGGTAAAGAAGACAGATGCTCGAACACCGGGACGATTTGTATTTTATTCTGAGCTTTCGGACTCTTACCGGAGTCCATCGTCAGACATTGGAAGCATCTCAGAATAAAATGCAAATCGTTCCGGTGTTCGATCATCTGTCTTCTTTACGAATACAAATACCTAGAACGCGAACGTTATCTCTCATTCGTGAACTGTATTGTCCAGTCGGTATTCTAATTTTCAATAGAAACTGATGAAAAAAACAAATGTTTTCCTGTTAGACTTCATTCAGCCGTCTTGTTTTCCACATAATGCGTTTGACCCTCATACCGCGGTCTTCTTCTTCCTTTCTATAGAATCCGAGTTTATGACCAACTTGTGGAAGTTGATGGCCAGTGTCTGGTTGGTGTTTCACAAAGTTTCGCTGCTGACGCCCTGCGAAACACCTCGGGAACTGTCCAGTAAGTTTTCCACGATGTTTGCCACACCCCGACGACCGCAATGCCTCTGGTGATGAAGACGCTTCAAAACATCATTATTTTCCTGCACTTGCTCTGGTCCCTGCAGCCAGTGGCACTTTCGCTGTCCCCCAGTCTTTCCTTTGCATATGAGTTACCCCCACTAACACTAGCTTCATCTGTAGTTGCTAAAGCCTTCGGGCCATTCTTGTCCTCACTGATACAAACGTTTCTTCATTAAAAGAAGCTAGTAATGCCTTAAGACGCTATTCTATCGTCTCAGTTAAAGCCTGATGTAGAACCTTCTGTTAGTTTAGTCCGCCTTTTCTGTTCTCCTCGCCAATATGCCGACGGTGCATCTTCATGTTTTCTCTGCCCCATTCATAGTTTTGTTGTCGGGCGCGAAAGGAGCGACACCAATATGTCCATCGCCGCCCTGCTCGAAGCCGACGAAATGACTGCCAGCACTACCAGTGCCA